CTTCTCCAGGCTTGCCCACCCGCCACTCAAAGCCGGGCAAAGCTGCCCTGCAACAACCACAGGGCAGCGCTGCCCGGAACATGTCCAGCCGGGCCCAATTTGTTTTGAACCTCGGACCTGGTGCAGCGGATAAATTCGCCTTGTGTCATAGAAAAACGCGCCCCGGAATCGGATTTTGGCCGTGTGGTTCCCTGTACCTCCGTTGAAAACAGAACCCTCACCAAGGGAAACTCACCCTAAATCGGCCAAGCAGGTGATATGTCAACCCGACCTTTGTGAGATCCGAGATGTGGATCAGCGGTTCTGGAATATTGTTGGTGGACATGTAGGTGGGGATGCGTCCACACGCCACTGTGAAGGATTTCCCCACGAAAATTCGTAGCCAAATGGTGCGTGTTAGCTAACTAAGCCCAATCCCCCCCCCCAGCAAAGTCCATGATTTTGACTGGGCCCATTCAACTGACAGGTTCAACATCATTCTACAACGGCCGCTGAAAGGACAACCACACTCCTGAAAAGCCTCAAGTCATGGGGCCAGTTTGACCTTTCAGCGGGAGAGTTTAACCAGTTTCCCCCATAGGTGGTTTTCATTGGTTCAGGGTTTGGGTTGGTGTCCCATCCCTCTGCAAGAACTAGGTGTTCAAATCCCCAGGGCAATCGAAACCAAGGGCTGCAGGCGATCTAACTGGAGCTTATAAGGACTCAACACCAAGCACAGCTTCCAATGAGTGGGCAACACAATAAATAATGGGCTCCGTCCCTTTCGCCTCATGAGTTCAATCTGGACGATCTACAAAACACCCCTAAGGGGACATATCTGGGCCCAAGACTTCGACGCAAAACCAGTTGAACAGCTGCAAGCATTTGGCCGAATGAAATTACAAGATGCTAAGTGTAGATTCTGTTGAAGACCACAGTGTAGACGGTGAGTCATGAACGAGTGCGAAGTCGCAGAATCCGAGGTTGGCGGTGCCCAAACTTACCATGTTTCGTTCCCGCGCCGAATTCCCGAGCCAGGCTTGGCTCGGACCTTGAAAGGCGAGCGCTGTGAACCCATATATATATATATGCTACCCCCCCCCTCAACGACTCTGTTTTTTTGGTGCAGTGAGTGCTTGACTGACAGATGGTAGCAGATGATTTGCTTGTGTTTGATTGACAGGTGACAGCAGAAGATTTATGTGTGTGTTTTTTTGGTGCAGTGAGAGCTTCATTCAGTGGAACTTTACTTGGAAAGCAGGCAGTGAGACGCACTTCGCGCTTTTTTGTTTTCTGCTGCAGAAAACTCTCCCTATTTCTGTACAAAAGGAGCCATTGCATCCTTCACCAGATCTCCAGTTTTGATCCAGAGATCTTGGCCCCGCATCCAGTACTCATACTGGGCTGAACGAATGCGGCTCCTGATTGCTTTGGACCCAGCTCGAACCCTTTGGTTCAATTTTAACCGGTCCTTAATAAACCGCCAAGCCCTGTCCACGTGTTGGGTGCCTGCTTTTACCTTCAGCTGGGTTCCATCCCGGAGCCTGTGAGTCACCACTCGCACGTATTGCGGGGAGCTCCATTTCTTTTTCCCATTCTTGAGTGTGATCAGCTTCTTGCAGTGGACAACTGAGTCATGGTGCACGCCATCCACCTTGGCCTTGTAGGACTTTGCCGAGTCCGTATGCAGGATGACATGGCGGCCCTGCAAGTGCTTCTTGGCTAACGGGGCCCAGTCAATTTTGCGGATTGCCCCCGGCCCCGGAGCTCTCCGCACCGTCAAGGCTGGGCTAAGGCGTGACATGATGAGTGTAGATGGCTTGCCGCGGGCCATCATGCCACTCCATTGCTCCCACAGGATGGGCTTGCCTGCCTTGACCGCCTCCTTGTACGCGACGTCCTTGGTCATATCTGCTTTGTCAAAGGCGCACTCATCAGCTTCCACATCCTGCCACTGCTTCTTGCCACCAAAGGAGATCTTCTTCTCCTCCTGCTCGACAAAGAGCTGCCTGGTATGCGCTAGGCTGGATCTCATTTTTTCAATGAGCTTGTGATTCACACCCAAGGCCAACCTGATCTGGGTGTGGGAAGCACCAATGAGGATCATGAAGAGAACTGCCGCCTGCATCTGCAAAGGAGTAGAGCCAGGGCCACGGCCAGTAGTGAAGAAGGGATGCAAGTGCAGCGGGCTGACAATACGTTTGCAATGATAGTTGTTGCATTGGTACTTTGCACTGCCGCAATGCATCTTGGATGCAAGAGTGCCTTTCCAGCATTGGGGGCAACGCTTACCGTGCCATTTTGGAAGGATGCCGTCCTTTTCCAAAATCTTGGTAATCCCACTGTTGCTAGCACCCAGGATCTCAGCGAGGTTGCGCTTCCACTTAGCTCGATCCATGCGAACACCAGCTGCTGGTACATCTCGGTGACCTCGCACGTACTTCACTTTGTTATACTCCTTGCTCTTCTTCGTGGCTGGCCTCTTGTGGACACGACGGAGCTTCCCCCGCTTGCTCACAACCCCGGGGTTGAGTCGAGCTGCCATGTCACAATCGCAGTAACTACGAGCCCTAGGTGATTCAATGGCAACACAGTGCAAGGCAAGTCGGAAATCAATCAAGGTTGCACTTGCAATTGCAGTCTTGCAGCGAGCTTATTTTTTTCCGCGGGCACACAGCTTTCATCTTTGAATTTGAATTTTATGGCAGTAGTAACCACTACTCACCAAGCAAGAGTATAGATTCTCGCAGCATAGCCCAACACTCAGAACTCAAGCAGGTTCACGCTCTAGTCGTGGAGAAAGTGGCTTGCATCCTCGTCTGCAGCAGTGTCCTCCATGTCGGCTGTTTCTGCTGCAGCCAGAAGCTCTTCAGGCTCTGCACATTGGTCGGCATTTTGCGGTTGTGGATCACCAGAGGCAACAGATGAGGCTGCTCCTCCCCCGCAAGAGATGAGCAAGCTCGTTTTGCGCCGGAGGCACTTGTCCGGCTTGGAGTCTGGGTAGATGAAGTCGCCCTCTCGCAAGCGCTTTGGCGCATTGCAGCCGATGTTGAGAGGCACCGGCGGCAGGAGAGGCGGGTCCTCTGAAGACTGAGAAGTTGGCACAAAGGAGCTCTCTGGGATGCGTGCCACCTGCTTGAGAGCTTCTTTGAGATCTTTGTTGCATCTCTCCACATAGTCTTGTGCTCGGCCTGCCTGCTGTAGCTTCATCATGCCTTCATCGATGATCTTCTGCTCCTTCTCCACCTCGCTCTCATAGTAGCTTCCCTTCACCATATCACCCAGCTTGTACGCAGCATACACAGGCTTGTCCTTGGTGGCAAGGAGATCTTTGTGAACATCGTCTGCCACAATGCGATGGACAAGGGCACCATAGTTGGGGGACGGGAAGCGCAAGTAGAGACCATTCTGCCCGAAGACCATGACAATTGTCCGCTTAAGCACTGCCAGCACGTCTGCTTGCTTGGACTCTGGAAATGTTTTGCGGAGCAACTTGAAGAACTCGTCGGGCTCGATGTCACTGCGGTAGGTGTCCTCAGGCTCATCCCCCTCACCGATGTCGTTGGAAGCATATGCCCTCATGCCATTTCTGACCAGCCTGACATCATTGTACCTGCCTGAGCAAGTCTGGTCTTCATCCGCAGTAAGGAACGATTTCATGTCGGCTAGATCGATCTTGTCCCTGGAAGGATCATCGAGAAAGACGGCCTCTTGTACCTGGGGGACTCGATGCCTGAAGTTGTCGAGAGATTTGGCTCGACGCCAGCCCGGCGAGGCTGTCAAAGAGAGACGCCGGACGTGGTAACGTCCAATTGCCATGGCAAGGGTGATCAAACAGGGTGTCTTGCCGACGCCTGGTAAGCCCACCATCATGATGCCATAAGTCAGCAACATCGGCATAACCATTGGCAAAAGAACATCAGACATGAAGGGCTTCAAGCTGAACATGGTGAGGGGGAAGTCAGTCTCAGGCTGCGCTCCGGCCAGGCCACGGCTTTTGTTTTGAGCCATGAATCTGACCTTTGCTTCTGGCCACCCAGAAACTGGTGTGCCAGAGCCCTCCTTGATGGAACATAGGATCCAATAGGTCTGTTCATTCTGCGAGTCACATTCTGGTGCATTGGCATTGATGAACAAGATGCCCTCCTTAAGCGCCTCGTCATCAGGTGCCCACTGAGAAGACTGAGCCCTTTGGAGAGGAGCCTTTTTTGTCAGGCTCGCCCACATCACGCGAAAGCCGGGAAGACGATCCAGTAAGGACTGGACAGCTTTGCGATGCGCCCATGGCCCAGGGCGTGACACAGGCACGAAGCCCTCTCCTGTGATCAGGCGCTGGGCGGCAGCAGCAGTGATCTTGTTGGCGAAGTGCAGAATTTTGATCAGAGACATTGTTCCATCATGGTGGTTTTCGATGATGACGCCCATGGTTGCCTTGGGAGGAAGAGGCCCTTGAAGACGTAGTGGAAAGGGTACATCTGCGATGTTGCCTTGTGACAGAAGCTCCCCAATCTGAGCAAGACCGCTAAATTCTGGCACATTCTTGTGGACATCGAAGGCTATGGAGGTCACTTTCGCTTCGTTCAAGTTGCGACATGAGTTGTCCAAGAAGTCTGACAAGAGGATGGGTTCTGAAATTTCCCCACGAGAGTGCCAAGCCATTTTGGGGGTGGTGTGGGTCTCATACACCCACTCTTTGCCGGAGTGTAGGGCCATGGCATCGTCTAACATGCTGGACATGGAATAAGAAGATGGTGTGCCTTAGGGGCAACTACTTGGGAACTCTAAGCTGGAAAGCAACAGGTTCACATATCAAACTCAGGAATGTCATGCATTCGTGCAAGCCATGATGTCCTGCTGCAAGCTACCACATCAAAAGGCAACCAAAAGCAGACATCTTTTTTGTCACCTCTCACAGGAGCAGATCCGGACAAGAGTATGTGCACATGTATAGTACCGTCTGCCAATGATGGCTATGTTACTTACAGAAGATTCTGAATACAGCTTGACAGCTATACAGGCTTCTACTTCCTGGCCCTCTTTGAGGCACGCTCCTCAGCCAAATGTGCCCTAAGCTCTTCAAGTTCGCACTCATATTGTTGAATGTCACCCTCCAAGATCTCAATGCGAGCGTGAGCCTCTTGCAACTCAAGCTCCTTGAGCTCGAGTTGCGCGGAGACACTCTCATTGTGAGCTCGTGTGGGCGTAGATGAATCTGAAGACGACGAGCTTGAAGAGGAGGAGTCGTCGCCTGAGTCCTCAGAGTGACCTTGATTATTCTCAGGCATGTCTTGGTCTTGGTGGGGTGGCTCTTGACTGGAGAGGCCCGCATCCTTTTCGGAGATCACCTGCTGGTCCTCAGACACGTCCTCATCCTTTTCGGAGATCCCATGGTGGTCCTCGGAAACACCCTCATCCTTTTTGGAAACACCCTGCTGGTCCTCAGACACGTCCTCATACTTTTCGGAGATCCCATGGTTGTCCTCGGAAACACCCTCATCCTTTTTGGAGACACCCTGCTGGTCCTCAAACACACCCTCATCCTTTTCGGAGATCCCATGGTGGTCCTCGGACATGCCCTCATCCTTTTCGGAGGTCCCCTGGTGGTCCTCGGCCAACTGCTGCTCTTGCTGGACTGGGGCGTCTTGGATTGGCAGCGGGTCCTGGGTGTTTGCGTCCAGGATGGCCAGCTGGTCACGACGCTTGCGTCCCCGAACATGGCCCTTAGGTGCTTGCAGGTCACGTAGAAGCTTCTCGTGACACTCCTCTGTCCACCTGCCCATGTGGCCCAAGGGCTCGATGTTCAGAGTTTTCTGTGTGTTGCACATCATGGAACGCAAGGCGCGTTGATGCAATGGAAGCCGGCTGTCATGAATTTTGATTGCTCCGCGTTCGTGTTGTTCAAGAACTTCATCTAGAGTGACCCGAGGCTTCTCCTTGTCGACTTTGTAAGCTTGGGATGAAGCAGGGCTAGACGCTGGTTGGATTCGCAGCTCGGCTGCGCCATTGGAGAACCTGACCTTGCCAACCACGTCAAAGGAAGCCATGGCAGAAAGAAGGAGGAGACAGACAATAAGGACTTGAGCTGCCTGAGAGCTGAATATAGCAGAATTTCGACTCTCTTGGCAAGATGCAAAGGCCAAGTCTGAGCGGAGGAAGGGAATAAGGGGAATAAGGATCCTTATTCCCTTATTCCCCTCAAACCCAAGAACCCAAGAACCCAAGATGCACAGAGGACTTTTGGGAGCAATCTTGGGTTTGAAGGTAGAAACGGGAATAAGTGGAATAAGGATCCTTATTCCCCTTATTCCTCTCAAACCCAAGAACCCAAGAACCCAAGATGCACAGAGGACTTTTGGAAGCAATCTTGGGTTTGAAGGTAAGAACGGGAATAAGCATCCTCATGTCCCTTCCTTTTTTCTTGGGCTGCCAACCCAAGATTGCTCCCAAAAGTCCTCTGTGCATCTTGGGTTCTTGGGTTCTTGGGTTTGAGGGGAATAAGGGGAATAAGGATCCTTATTCCCCTTATTCCACCCCTGGGCTGACAACCCAAGATTGCTTCCAAAAGTCCTCTGTGCATCTTGGGTTCTTGGGTTCTTGGGTTTGAGGGGAATAAGGGGAATAAGGATCCTTATTCCCCTTATTCCACCCCTGGGCTGACAACCCAAGATTGCTTCCAAGCTTGCTTTCAAAGTCATGCAGCCAAAAAAATCAGAGTCAATGGGGGGGGGGGGTACCATATTTATATATATATATATATTCTAGGTACAAACATATATATATATATAGATGCATGTATATGTTGCATAGATGTGTATATCAAAACATGCATACATGTACATAAATATATATACATTAGGTACATATATATACATATATATATATATATATGAACTCCTGCAATGCACCCTTCGTCTGGTTCCGTGGTACGAACCCCTAGCTTTTGCCGGTTGATTCGCCAATTGCTTTTGCGGGGCCAGATGCGCATCGTGGAGCTCAAATCCGCAAGCCCAACGCCAGAAAACCTACTCCAAACTAACCTAGGTCCTCCAGTAGAGAGGATCGAATAAGGGTACCCTTTTTTCTGTAGTCTATTTTAGTAGGGGAACCCTCCCAACCAAAAATGGGGTGAGAAAGGGCACTACTGGGGGACCTAGTAAAATGGAAGGTCCATTTCCCAAAAAGAGAATCCAATCCTAAACACTGTGCATGTTTGGGTGCCATCTTAGTCTGCAGGAGTGGCACCAGACTCTCAACATGTCACCTTCACGAAAATGACTCTATCACTTGGGGTACGGTGGCCCAACGTGTGTGAGAAGTATCGAACAGTATGAGTATGCGGTATATGTACATATAGACAAATTTAACCACAAAAAAGCAAACACATGCTTTGAACACCGTCCTGCCATAAGCCATGTCTTTTTACCCCATCCCAAGCCTTTGCACTGTAAACTCTGACCGCGTCAGAAACCTGCATGCGACGCTACCGCAGGATCGTGGGAACATTCCACTTCCGTGACGCTGGGGAAAGGCCTGTCTGGCCAGCTCACCTGCCCACCACACAAAGCTTAAACTTGCCAGGCCCTCGCACACATCAAGATCCGGTTGCTTTCTGATCCCCTGCTAAAAGTTTATCTTTTAGCGGTTTAGTGGAAAACCCATTAGTTGGCAAAAAGTCAAAGTCCTAACATCCAAGCCAAATGCACCAAAGAAGAGAAAAGCCAACCCAAAGGCAACAAGTTTGCCAACTCAACGGGCAAGTCACGGAAGTGCGGACCAACACCTGGTTCCCCACCACCCCGCGGTTCTTATTCATGCACGACTAGGCACTTCGAAGGCTGAGCTATACTTCAAACCAGCTGCGAGAAAGGCCGACTTTGAACCTGCGCGACTCGAGATGCGACTGCCGGTTGAGGGGGGTTTGGGGGCTAGTTGGGGCATTGGGGTTGGGGGGTTGGGGTAGGGAGTGCGTCCGAGTTGGGGGCTGCTTGACGAAAAGGACGACCCTTTTGGCTCACTTCCTGAAATGATTGTGAAACCTAATTGAGCTATTGGTCGCCTACATAGCTTGCATGATCTTGCATGCCATGGAGAACATGAAGGGTAAAACTCTTTGGATCGTTATGGCCCCCGGCTACGGTGTGGATGCATTGATTGGGATCCACCCCATAGAGCGTTGACCAGGGCAAGCTTCACACGGAACTCATGCGCAAGATTTATGGCATGTCCTTCAAGAGGGGTTTCGACAAGCATGCGCTCTTTAGGACACAAATCAGCAACCCACGTCTTAGGACTATTCACACGCCACCCACGCCCGTCCTTGAGTTTGCATGTCTCGCGAGCTGATTTCAATCGGCCATCGAGATTTCTTCCTGAGCTGCGTCCCCTTGGATGGCCCTCCTACGCTCGCTGTTCATCACCCAATGGTTGAGATGGCCAGATTTGGACAAGTTAGCTTGTTGCTTTTTGAAAGCGGAGATGAGGAAACACTAACAGGGCAAAAAGTCGAAAAGTTGACTATGCAAGTCTGGCAATGCAAAGCGGAACCCCTGAATCTAAATAAAGCAAGCTAACCGAAGCTTTGACGGAATAGACCTGAGTCAAGCGAGTCAGAGATGTTGCTACAAGAAGTGGCATTCGCTTGGGGTACGGTTTGCGTTTGAGCAAGTAAGCCAGCCAGCCTTGTCATGCTACAGGATGAATACAACCGGGATTGACCGACAATGTGACAAGAGAGTGCAACCAGATCGCCTTCAAAAGCAACCTTAGCAGCCCCTTGGGAACCAATGATACTAATTCTGTCCTGTGCAGCAAAGACAGGGAATATGTGTCATATGGCCGCAGGCTGGCTGTTGGACACAGGCATGTTGAATGTGTCTTGTGTGGATCCAGCAGTGGATATGGAAACAAACACCTAAAAGAGGATCTAAACAAACAGCAGAAAACACTTGAGGAAGTGAGGAAACCAGCCTATTGACCAAGAGCAATCGACAAGGTTCCAACGGAGGCGAGCGTCAATCAAGCTCGTGCTCGGTGGAGAACACGAGGAGCATCCTTGGAAAGCTTGGTCTCGCATATGAGCTAATCGGGTGGTGAAGCTGAATAGCTGATTAACTCTTAGGCTGCTTGGCAAAGAAAGCAAAACTGAGGAACAAATCCAAGGTTGACAACGCGGGGCAAAAGGTTCAAAGCAACAGTTCGTTGAGCAAAAAAAACAACGACAGCAAAACACACACTATGTAGGGAAAACAGGTTCCAAGCAACGGTCCATTAAACACGTAGGCAAAGAAGTGGACCAACACAAGTGGACCAAAACAGCATGAGTTTTGATTGGGGACCCATTGGTGGAAACAATTTGGGACTTATGTCCACCAACGTTCTCTATCTAAACTCCACAGAGACCATAGAATTTTCACTTGGGACCCAACAAATGTATGGCTTCCTTGTTTGCCCAAGACCAGCTACGCTAACCTCGGGTTGAGATGCACCCAAACAAGAGGATTTATCAAAAGAGACGCATCCAGGCCCACCCCCCAAAAAAAATACAATGCGTGTCTTCCCCCTAAAAATGGTTTCCTTTTGGCTTCCTATATTCAAAACCATCCAAACAGGGCCACCCATTGCGGCACGAGGCTCACCCCCAGCGTGATGCCGTGAAACATCGCCAAGCCCAACTGGCAAGCCACCGCCATGCTTGCGACTCGATCCTTGGCCCTCTCCTGGGTTCATCGCTGCGCCCAAGAACTTCTGACTTCTGGTTCACACTTATAATTATAATTTTAGACCGGTGCATATGGTCCGTATATGTGTGTAATGACGAAATTAGGTAGTGCCGCCACCACATGGCGAATGTTCTTTTGAGGGTCCCCTGGTTGGGTTAAATTTGCGAAAGGGTTTGAAACAATATTTCGGGAGAGAATAAACAGGCCCTAACCCACCAACAAGAAGAGACAGTTTAAGCCCCCCAGTCCCAAGGGCAAAGTGGTGCCCTCGGCTGGCAATGAACCACTCAGATAACAAACGGGGAATCCTGTTTAACCGCAAAACCCAAACAGGAAAGGGGACCAGCGCAGCTAACCAGGCGAGCGCAGCAAGCGAGCGAGCAAAGCAATTAACCAAGCGAAAGCGGAGCAGCAGCAACAAGGTGCACACCACCAGACACACAACCGACCCACAACCAAAGAACGTGCCTACCGCCGCGAACCCCAGCCCGACCTTTTGCAAGACCGAGATGGGTAGCGGCGCCGCAGGCAGCCGATGCCGTTATGGCGGCGGAGTCCGACGCGGTGAAAAGCTTGAGCCAAACGGCGCATTGGCCGTGGCATGGAAACATGCTATGATAAAACTACATGCCCCCAAAAACACCCCCCTCGACTGTACAAAGAGATGGAGTGAATTTGGAAAGGCGCATTGGCCATGTTGAAGTTGAAATGCAATAAACAAGAACAACAAAGCCGATTAGGCTACCAGGGTTCGCGACCCCATACCCGGGCACTCATTGGTGCCCGGATCCCGCCACCACCCCGAATTACGGGTATGGGGCGGATTCGCGCCGGTAGCCAAATCAAACAAGAGAAAGCAAAAAGAAACAGAAACAAAGATTCAACTCCAGAATGGCAGGCATGAAATAAAATTACATTTGCAATGCAACCACATCGAACCGTAAGGTTCGAGTGGATTTATTCCTGAATTCATGATTTAGGCGCATTGGCCTACTGGTTGAAACATGGTGCTTTGACCACAAGACCTTGGTCTTTAAAGTAGCACCGTCTAGGCGCGCGATCACACAAAGACCTTCAGTAGGAACACCACCAGCTGCAATCAGCGGTTC